GTGGGATGGATTTGGAGAAAATGAAAGCTATCCTTTCTTACAAAACGCATCATCCGATGTACAATAAGGTGTATGGAGTGTTCTCTCTATTTATTTATTTTCATTTTGAACAGTAGGTTTTCTCTTACATTGTGTGGTGTTCACACCCAGAGGATTCCAGATTCCATAGAACCGTACTCTTTAGTGATATGAATTTTGATAGGGGCCTGAATTGTGGTGATTATTCTGAGGTATAATCAGTGATTTTGATCTTATGGATGTTAGATATATATATATATATATATATAGGGTGGGTGGTGTTATAGGGATAATTTTTTTGTCTCACTTTTTTTATACAATTTTCACATGTCATTAAATGAGTAGATGCATTCAATATCACAGGTGTCACACATGAATTAAAAGAATCAATCATTTTAATAACACATCATGTTGTACAAAAATATGGGACAAAAAGGTTGTCCAAAAAGTATTTCCCATATATATATATTACATTGATTGCTATATCTTTTAATTTAATATACTTTATAGCATGTTTATTAAAAATTTATTTAAAGTTAGAGATTTTAAGTTTTGAATTTTAAATAAAGTGGGATGGATTTGGAGAAAATGAAAGCCATCCTTTTTTACAAAACGCATCATCCAATGTACAATAAGGTGTATGGAGTGTTCTCTCTATTTATTTATCTTCATTTTGAACAGCAGGTTTTCTCCTACATTGTGTGGTGTTCACACCCAGAGGATTCCAGATTCCATAGAACCGTACTCTTTAGTGATATGAATTTTGATAGGGGCCTGATTTGTGGTGATTATTCCGAGGTATAACCAGTGATTTTGATCTTATGGATGTTAGATATACATATACATATAGAGAGAGAGAGGGTGGTGTTATAGCAACAATTTTTTTGTCTCACTTTTTTTATACAATTTTTACATATCATTAAATGAATAAATGCATTCAATATTACAGATCTCATATGAATTAAAAGAATCAATCATTTTAATGACACATCAGATTGTACAAAAATGTAGGACAAAAAGATTTACAAAAAGCATTTCCCATATATATATTACATTGATTGCTATATCTTTTAATTGAATATACTCTAGAGCATATTTATTAAAAATTTATTATTTTTTAGTATAAAATTAAAGATAAATAAACTTAAAAATGTAGTCATGAATACAGTATATATGAATTAGTAAAATCGACTGTACTTATATTATATTTTAATAATTAATTAAGCTGTGTATAAAAAGGTAAGCTACAAATCACATTTTCCTTTTATTTATTTATTTATTTTATTTTTTATTTGTGCTATGGGTTAGGAAGCAACTGAAATGTGTTTTAGTCAGCCCCCATTCAATATATATGCATTTTGAAATAATCTAGATATATATCTTATTAATTCCTAACCTTTCCATCCATTGTAGTCATTGCTCCTTAAATTGCGAAGGAATGGCTAGTTGAAGAAAAAAAATATGATATCTAGGCACATATGTAACACACCAAACTTATTTATTTAACAAACGAAAGCATTACACCAGCCAGTACAAAACCACAGACGAAAGCATTAAAAACATACATGATTAAACCATAAACGGTAGTACTTAAAACATTACAACAACATAGAACATAGTCTTAATTTCCACCAAGCTCACTCTCTTGCTTTGAGAGTTTTAAAGATATCATCCGAAGCCTCCTTGGCATCTCTTGCAATTCCAAACAGTCCATTCTTCGAGAGTCCTATGCAGTAGATGCCATTGTCCCCTTTCCAGTGATCTGGCTGTTTCTGTTTTGGGAGTCCATCGTTGTTCAGAATGTACTTAAAATCCTACACCAACATTTAATGCACGTTATATCAGTTTAATTAATTCTTAATTACCAAAGTTATAAAGTAATAATTACTTGCAACACCTTCAGCCATTTGTTTGCAGAGCTTTTATATCCAGTAGCCAAAATAATGGCATCAAAAGAAGACACTTTTCCATCCCTAAAAGTAACAAGATTTGCATTTATATGGCTGATTTCTGGTGCGACCTGTATCAATCATATAAAAAGTTTAGAATAATTCATTCTCAATGGTACAAACCCAACATGCATCGATTCAATAGTATTAACTTGATTAACATGCAGTTCTCCATTTTCTTTCTCGAATACATACCTTGACCTCTCCTGCTTTGATCTTCGCTACTGTTCCTGCATCAATAGTGGGGCTTCTCCCTGTCAGGCCCTTCAGATAAAACGGTCCTTCGGTAGGTCGACGTATCCCGTATTTGGTTAAGTCTCCGAACTTTAAAGTCGACAGCCATGTAACAGCTCTGTCCACAAGACCAACACCCAAGTGTTTCAACAGGAACATACCCGTATACACCATCTCTTTGCTCAGAACATGAATCTGCATGCAACCAAATCATATATACATGAGTGTTATCGAAATAGTTTAATAGTTTAAAAGTTCTGGGACTTAAATGATAAAAAAGTAAAAGTTTGGGATCTAATTGAGATCTGAACACAAGATCAGAGACCAAATTTACTACTCGCCAAAAATACTTCCCCTGCATGCATGCAGGACGTCACGTATTGTTTTTTGGTATTAATTAGTTTTTTGCTATTCGGTAACAACATTGGACCCTAATTAATTTGAAATCGAGTCACGTCGGATTATAAAGAAGAAACTCTCCTAATGTCTGTTTTTCTATTTATGATATTCAAACTCTAGACTTTATTTAAAAGAAACTGAATTTTTTTTATTCAGATCAACAAGTCATTCGTATACCATAACATATCATACTAGTAAGAAAAATAAATAAATAAATAAATAAATAAAACTCTTACAGGATTTCTAGCAACAATGGTAGTTCTTGCACCAAAGTTAGATAGATCCAGACTGATTTCCATACCAGAGTTACCGCAACCGACAACCAGAACATTCTTACCCTCGTACTGTTTCCCAGATTTGTACAGACTAGAATGCAGGATTTCTCCAGGAAAGGTGTCCAAACCTGGAATCTGTGGGATCACACCTTCTGAGTTTTCTCCAGTAGCGACCACTAGGAACTCAGCCACATAAACTTCAGTCACCTCCGAAAGGAGGTTCTTTGCTTCAACCCTCCAGCTCTTTATGCTTTCATCAAATTCAGCGGATTCAACGTGACGGTTGTACCTGGGGTTTATGTTGAATTTTGACACATACTCGTCTAGGTATGCAAGGAAAGTGGCTTTTGGCATGTATTTTGGTGTTGTGGGGGAATGTGGATGGAGTGGGAGCTCGCAAAATTGTTTTGCAAGATGGAGGGACACTCGGTCGTAGCATCTATGCTTCCAAAGAGAGCCATAACAATTTTCCCTTTCTAAGACAGTATTGGAGATTGAAAGATTATTTAGACATGCTGATATAGCAAGACCAGAAGGGCCAGCTCCTACTATCAAAACAGGGACTGATACTATTTGTGCCATTGTATCTCTCTAGATTTTTTTTTTCCTAACCTCACTCTCCCTCTTTTCTTCTTTGTAACTGTAGGTTTTCTTTGAACTCTAGAAGTTGTTCACCTTTTATGGAGAGTTGCATTCAAATGCTTACGTTACTTTAATTTTTTAATATGAAAATGTGCCTCTATTTTGGAATTTAGTTAAAAGTGATATTTTTCACTCGTAGTTAAAGTTCTTAGAGTGTTTGGTTGGTGGTGGGATTTTTATTTTTAGCTATAAAAATAATTAAGTTAGAATTGAAAAATTTTTATAAAGAGAATAGTTAGGCTTTAATTTTTTTTTTTATACATTAGCAAAGTATTAACAAATACCATTTCCTTAAAAATATGAATACATATTACAGTATGGCCATTCCTGGCTTTCTAAAAAAGTTTCTTAATTTTACTTCTTTTGTTTTTTATAATATAAGTAAGGAATAACTATTATTATCAACCAAACATGGAATTATTGTATTTAAGAAGGGATGAATTTTTTTTTATAATTGTTCATAGAGCTGTTAATAAGTCAAGTATCTGAGAGCTCGCTTTTAACATTCGACCTTGCCTTAAATATCACTTTCAAGTCGAGCTCGAATATTTATTGAGCTCAAAATTGTTGAACTTGAATTTGAGCTCATCAGTATTTGAGCAAGCTTGAGTTTGCTTGTGAGTTTGAGCAAGGGCGAGTAGTATCATGGATTACTCGTGCATTACCTTTGTATGTAATTAAACCTTTTAATGGATAATTATACATACACCCAAACAATCAACACCCATCTCAACACCCAAGGCTTATGAACAATAAAATTACAAATTTACCCCTCATCATTTTAGCCTTGAATGTTGAGATGGATGTTGATTGTTTGAGTATATATGTAATTGTCCAATTTGAATCTCTATATAATTCATGAGTTGTATTAAGCGTTAAATAAACTCCAAAAATGACAGATTTTAGGCTCTACATTTTATTTAGTAATTATCTTAAATTTTAATTAAAAAAGTTTTAGATTTATATTATTTCATTTATTTTTTTTATTATGAATGACATATTATTCAGAAATGCATTTTATATTAATTATTACTAGATTTTAAACCCATGCATTACTTTTGTGTTTACATGGTTTCAATCTCTATTGATTTGCGAGTTGTACTAGGCACTAAACTTGAAATCTCTAATTAATTCATTGCATTTTATTATATATGTAGATTTAAATTCTATGAGTAGGTATGTAAACTTGAACTCAAACTCATTTTTTATTGAACTCAATATTGAGCTCAAGTTCAACTTGTTCACCGAAAGAGTCAAACTTGTATAGCTCGTGAGTTACTTATGAGTTACATTACTTGCTAACAACTTTAATATTGCTTAGTATTTTCTATTCTCTCTGTTTCACAATAATTTCTTTTCCTTTGAATTTGTTCAAAAATAATTGTCATATTTTCATTTTTAAGGTATACAAATATTTTTCTTGCTTTAGTCCTATCATTATCCAGTCATTTTAATTAACCATCTAATCCCAAAAAAACTCTTTTTATCTTTTAGTTCTGTTAAAGAGTATTATCAATAAATATAAATTTTGTTCCCCAAATCATTAACTTGAAGAAAAAGTCAAAAAAATAACAATTATTTTAAGATAAAAGGAGTAATCAATTATTAAATTACTTTTTTTTTGGCAATTTTATTTTGCTAGTTTGAACTAATTTTTTTAACTTGGATTAGAATACTCCTTGTAATCAGATAATAAAATTTTCCTTCTCTTTGCTGATAAAAGTAAAAATCCAGACTTTGAATGAATTTTTAGGTATTTCCTTTTTCAAATATTTATTTTCCATATGTTTAAGGCATAGATTGCCCTGCATGTTTTCTTGATTCTTGTTCTTATGTACTACACAGCATTGATCAGGAGAGAAATGACGATCTTTGCTGTCATGGTTGCCTTTAGTTACTAGCTGTAGGTTCTATGCTCTTTCTAATTCAAGTAGTTTTTTTAATCAAGTTCTTTGTAACCTAATTGATTCATTGAATAATAAAGAAACTCTTATTATCTCAAAAAAATTTTTTAAAAAAATCAGTTGCTTCTACAGTATTGAATTAAGAATAATGTTTCGAATATAAAAAAACTAATAATAATGTTTCCACAATATTAAAAGCATTTCCTTCATTAAAAAACAGAAAATTTTCAATATGTACTCTAAAGGTACACATTAAGATGCAATTAACTAATGCCTCAATAGGTTGTCTAAAGTGGTTAAAAGTTTAAGAGTTGAGACTTTTAAGTTAAAAATATTGAGTTTGAATCTTAAGATAGTTGAAGAATAATTAAGGGAAGAAGAGGGCCATTCATATAACTTATTATTATGCACTAACAAAAAAATTAAGATGCATTTAATAAGGATAAATGTAACTTTTCTTCAATTAAAAGATATTTAATTGATATAAAAAAAAGATGTTTTGATTAATAATTTCGTACTCCTTTTTATATTAGTAATTTACCTTAAACATTTTTTTTTGTAATTTAAACTGATCTGAAGTACAAAACATAAACTCTTGGATGAGGAAATAACCCCCAAGGGTACTTGTTTTATAGTTTGGTGCAATTTGGATTGTAAAATAGTGGACCCTTTACCTTTCTAGTTTAAAGAAAAATACCATTTGGATATCTTATTAAATGCATCTTAACATATCTCAAAAATTAAACATTAGTTGATTGCAAGATAATTCTTTGTTGGCTATCCATCCATAGAAAACATGTAAAATTAAACATTAGTAGTGAAGTTTAAGACACAACTTTTATAGGGTGTTCGATTAGGGGAAACTTTCTCCTTAAACTATTATAAACTTTTTCCTCGTAAGGTTATTTACATATTTTCACATATTAATACTTTAACAAAAGGAGGATAAGTTAGTATTTTTAACCTTTATTTTTCTTAACATAATTCCCAACCTATAAACTTTTTTTCTTACACTTTTTGAAGGGAAAGAGTTTCTCTCCAACTTTTACTATGTAGGATTCACTTGACAATATGTTGACTAACTTTCCCTATACCAATTTTCTACCAAATACGAAAAAGTTAACCTATCAAAATTTCAATAAAATTTTATTACAAAACTTATCAACTTTCCATACGATACTTATTAACTTTCTATATGGTACTTTTCAAGTAAAATTGACCCTATAACCAAATAAGCCCTTAGCATATCTCTTAAATACTATACCAATATATTAATTTTATCTTTTATTTTTTGACTGGATTTCTTTAAATTAAAATTTAAATAATGAGTCATAATATATGAAAAAAAATAAAAATAAAAATCTAAATAATGACACATGGTATATGAAAAAAATTAGTTAACTTCGTAGATCTACTTAAAAGATAGAAATATTGATTTACCACTTATTGTTGAATCAACATTTCTTTTAAACTTTTATGTTTGTTTGTACATTTTTAACTAACAATTTTGGGGAAAAGAAAAAGATTACAACATACATGCCAAATTTGATGCAACATATCAATCTACCAATTTTGTCATTTATTTTTAACAACAAGATTTATACAACTTACGACAATTAATAGAATCTTCTAAATGATGTATTAATTTATCAATTTTGTATTTAATTTTTTATCATCGCTTATTATTAAACCGAGATTCTTTTTTAATTTTTATGTCAATGATACGTTTCTATATAACTAACAATTAAAAAAAAAAAGAAGAAACAAACAATAAAATACAACATGCAACATTTGATGTAACGTATGTATCAATCAATTGATTATGTCCTTCATTGTTTACAAGAAGACAGATGCAACTAACGACAATTAGTAAAATCTTTTAAATATTATATCAATCTATCAATTTTGTCCTTAATTTTTATCAATGTTTGCTAAAACTATAAATTGAATAACAACACATAATATATATAATCGTAGATTTTGCTTAAGAAAGAGAAACATTGATTTGTCTCTTATTGTAGAACTGGTATTCCTTTTCAACTTTTATATATGTTGTACGAGTTTAAATAGTAATTATAAAAAACAATAATAAGATACAACATGCAACATATAATGCAATGTATCAATGTATCAATTTTGTCTTTTTTTTTTTTTCTATATTCAATACATGACATTTATAAAATATGTTAAATAATGTATCAATCTATCCATTTTGTTTGATTAGTTTTAATTAGAACTAAAAATTGAATAGCAACACGTGGTATATGATATAAATTAGTTAATTATAGATTCTACTTAAAAAGCAACAAATATTGATTTATCTCTTATTCTTGAATTAACATTTCTTTTTAACTTCTAAATTGATTGTACATTTTTAAATAACAATTCAAAGAAAAAAAAAAACTAACAATAAAATACAACATTCGACTTTTAATATAACAATCTACTAATTCTATACATTATTATTGGCAATAGGGTTTTCAAAGTATTTCCTCTTTCCGTTATGGAAGTTTTGGTTTCGTGGTCATGATGTCACAAGTGATCTCTTTTCCTTCTCACATGCAAGCCTCGTTTCTTGTTGGAGTTTTCTCCTCTTAAGGGCGTCTTATTGCTAGGGCAATTGTAAAGGCTTCCTTTTCTCACCTCCAAGACTTCATTGTTTCACGCAAGATTTAGTGTTGTTGGTGGTGCCAAGTGAGATTGGGACATGGTTGGCTATGGTGAACGATAACCAATGCACTATATTGACTCTAAAGACTGAAAGCTTCAAGGTTGTTTTCCTTCTCTTCACTTAAAGATAGCGGAGTTGAAGTAATGAATAATGTCAATGGTGTGGTAGCAAGTGATAATAATGGCTTTCTAGGATAAATACGACAACTAGGTGAGGGTTGAGCAACTAATTCAATAAATAGAAACTCATAACCTTCCCCCGATTAGTGTACTAGTGGAAGGACCTCACTTAAACTAAATCAAACATTATGTCTACATCTACCTCCCGATGATTGAACAAAACCTCATTCCTAGTAAGCCATATAGTCCGAGTGAAAGCAAACCACACTAACTCTTAACCAAACCTCATATGTGGAGACTATAAT